TGGCAGTGTTCCTGGGACAACGCCCTGCTGGGGAAACAATAGGACAGGAAAAAGGGGGGAGGGGGCAGACCAGCAATACATTTAACATACCCTGCACAAATAATAGGCACAATGTGACAAAACACAAAAGGAATTTGGGAGCCCACCCATAGTGTCTGTCTTCCATCCCCAGTGATGGTGACTACCGTCCCATATCCCCAAAGGTAGACTAACCAGGTACCAGACCTCCAATCTGTCTGTGCCTGAGTTAGTCTGGTAATAAGTCCCAAAAAGTCCATCCATCCTGGCAGCCTTCTCTAAGTTCCACATAGTTTGTATGTTTGTCCTGATCGGGAGCATGGAGCCCTCATAGCTGATCAGTCTGTGGTACTCTGGTTTGGGCAGGCCAGACTGGGCTTCTTGGTCACCCTGTGCCTCTAATAAGCACAGGGTGACTTAGACATAAGAGGGGACTTGGAAGTGGAGAAAAGGAGTTCCCAGTGAATCTGCCATGGCCCCCTTCCCAAACTCAAACCTATCCCCATATGACTCTACTCTTAGGGGGCCACTGTGACCCCAATAGACCCCGATAGCAATTCTGGAACCCTGTATCTCCAGCTCAGAATAGTTTCCAGCATATTTCTCCCCCTTCAGAAGGAGACCAATACAGGAGACCCCAGACGAATTGACTCAGAAGTTAGTGACTACATCCAGATCATCAAGGCCATCACCGAAAGGGTACCCCAAACAAATTGCCCATGGAAGAGCAGCACTTACCCAGCCGACCTCTGCATCTACTAAAGCATATACCTGGCAATGCGTGCCCACTGTCCTGTCTCACTGGATCTCTCTCAGCCACTGGAGGGAAGGCAGGGTAGCTGGGCCCCCTCTGACATGGGGTTGGGGATTGGAGCTCATTGTCCAGCCTTCCTGGGGACTACAGGTAGAGATCAGAGTCCCATCCCTTTGTGTTGGATAGAGATCCCCCAGTGCTTGTGGCAAAGGGCTGAGGTTAGCCTTGCTTTGGTCTGGGATCCGCTCTTCTGTAGGACCATCAGTGTCTGATGCCTGAGGTTTGCGGGTTACCAGTAGGTTTGGGCAGAGGCAAGTGGAGCTCTGCCCCGATGCCAGTGCTTCAGCTGGGGGAGTTGCGCACTCCTTGAACTCCACCTTCACTAGAAGGTTGATCTCCCTGCTCTTCAACTCCAGCGTCATTGCAAGTTGGGCACAGAGGCCAGCAGCGCTCTGACTCAATGCCAGTGCTTCAGCTGGGGTGGTGGTGTACTCCTCAAGTTCCACGATCGTCGAAAGGCTGTCCTCCCTGCTCTCAACTTCCGGCATTGCTGCAAGTTGGGGCCAGGGGCTAGTGGTCCTCTGTCCTGATGCCAGCTCTTCTGTTGGGTTACACTTTGCCGCTGGGGAAAAAGACCAACTGCCTCCTCTCTGTAACGCAAACTTCAGCTGGGGAGGGAGATCGACTATCTCTATTCCCAGTAACTCAATTTGCTGTTGAAGGGGGAGACCAACAACCTCTACCTCTGCTGCACAAGTTTCCATGCCAGGAGTTGGGAGATCTGTGATGGCTGTCCAGTATCCCCATGATTCAGGTGTGGAGAATACGGTTCCTTCCACATCTACCTGACCAACATATTCAGATGTACGTTCTATTAAATCCCCAGTCTCTGGTACCTGCTGCTGTGCAGAGTCAAACAATTGCTTGTAATCCAGTTCAAGCTCCCACTCCATGGTGGCCAGGTGGGTCAAATCAGGTTCCAGGTCAGTTGCTTCTGAGAGATCCAGTAGGTGTTCCCTATTTTCCCTAATGTCATAAAGCCGGGGCCTCTCAGGACTTCCCAATTCAATTTTATCCTCAAAGGCCTCCCACAATAGGCCAGGGCCATCATAGTCCTCACCCTCTGGAGGGTCATCTGCTAAAAATGGGTACTGCTGGACTGCATACCACCTTAAGGCCCAGTAAGCATCATCCAGCCACAATTCTTTCTGTACCAGGTCCTCTAATTTAAACACCCATTCCGCCAGGGGCTGCTCTCCCAAGAATTGCATCCGCAAAATCATTGCATAATGGTTGGGAGGGATTCTCCCCGGAGACAACAAACCTCCTCAAGAACATTGTTCCAGAGATGCCGACGGATCGAGTCCCGCCGGTCCAGTTCACCCTTTGTTAAGAAAGGGCCATCGTACTGGGACAGAGCTGCTTGAAGCCTCCACTGTAACTCCTCCTCAGATGGGGATGCTCTATCCATTTCTATGAATTCCAGACAGCACAGTGGGATCCCAGTAGAGGCGCCGGTGTCCAGCGACGTTTCTCCAGCTGCTAGGAAGCCATCCCACCGCTTCCAACCAATGTAACGGATCACCTGGCACCCGACTGGGTACCTCCGTTGATGGATGCTCCTAGCGCTTCCTGAGGGCTCCAAACACTCCAGCTGACACCATAACCACCGTAGACTCCTCCAGAGAGCAAGGCAGGAACAAGCTCTTACAAGAGCTTAGTAGTGATTTAGCAAGGGAGTATGACAAGCATAGCAATCCCTTGTAGCAGATTCCCCCAATAAGAGACGGCACTCCAAATTGAGGGTGAGGTAGAACTGACTGAGCTGTGGGTTTATTGTTTTTATATACACATTCTTACACATTAGTACCACCCACAGGGTTTTGTAAAACAACCAATAAACATGTACAATAGACTCAGACACTCCCACACAAAATCCTCGCCTCTGCCTGTGATACAATTACCTTACACAATGGGTTAATATAATTATTACAGGCAGGAAAATAGTTTTACACAATATTCATAACTTTAAAAGTATGCATCACATTCACATAAACTTACATTTTCAGAATCTGCATGCTCCAAATACCAACATACATAAAAATCATACAAATTGGTCCATTGGGGCAAAAGTTAGATCGATGTCCTTTGTGACCAAATGAAGCATGGCTTTTCTGCCCAAAACCAGTTCCACAGAGTCTTTTATCCTGGAGATAATTGGGAAGTAATCCAATTATCTCCAAGCACAGAGACAAAACTCCATTAGCCACATGGTAGCAAATTACAATAAAATACATGAAAATATTTAACAGTGCAGCTATTGCATAAAACAGATACATTAAACATATCCCCAGATAGCTTAGATCTGAGCGCACATTATTACTGAATGGCGCTCAGATCACATACATACAGTTCAATTGCCATGGAGCCAAAGTCTTTCACATAGTCTTTCGTTATACGAATGGGCTCCATGGCATAGTTATCTGGGGTAACACTGCTCACATAGGGAAAGTACCGAATGACCCGGCTTTCGGGTCTTTGCAGGGGAAAATCAAGCATTTCAACATGGGGCTATAGTCACAGGGCAGGAGGCTGGCAATCAGTCTTCTCCAATACCCAGTGGTGAGGCTGGTTCCGCCACAGTCTTCATTTTCTCAAACTGCCCCTCTGCCCCATCGGCCCCCAATCAGAGGCCGGGCTGTTGTTGGAAGTTCAATGACAGTCACTGCAAGTGGGGATCCTCGTGCCGGTTTAAGTGCTCCGGCTGCGGTGGGGCTCATCCCGCCTCTCGCTGTTTCAAGCAGGGAAAAATGGGCGAAAAAGGGGACATGGGGGCTAAGGGCGACGATCCCGGTGCTCGTAAACTCGATGCGCCCGTGGCTCGACCTTTATAGGAACCGGGCTGCAGTGCGGATCCTGGTGGAGGGGTTTGAGCAGGGTTTTTGGATCCCTTTCTCGGAGCGCCCTCCACAGCACTCGGTTCGGAAACCTCAGGTCCGTGCGGGAATTTCCTCATGTGGTTCGGGAGAAACAGGGGAAGGAGGTCTCCCACCCATGCCTATCTTGCAGGTTTCTCCTTTGGGCGTGGTGCCTAAGAAGGAACCCGGTAAGTATTGCCTAATTCACCATTTGTCTTACCCTCAGGGGGGTTCGGTGAATGATGACATCTCAGCAGAGCTTTGCAGGGTTTCCTACGCTTCCTTCGATGTGGCAGTTCGCATGGTGAGGGCTGCTGGCCCCGGGGCATTGCTAGCAAAGGCGGACGTGGAATCTGCTTTTCGGGGTGTGGAAGGAAGCAGGGGTTGCTTCCCTTCTGCATTACCTAGATTACTTCCTGTGTGTACGGCCAGTGGAATCGCACGTCTGTGCCCTCTTGTTGTGGGTTCTCGGGGAGGTGTTTCAGCGGTTCAGTGTTCCGTTGGCTCATGACAAGACGGTGGGTCCGGTCACGTCCCTTAGTTTACTGGGCATTGAAATCGATTCAGTAGCCGGGGAATGTCGGTTACCCCAGGACAAGGTCCTGGACCTGCGTCTAGCGGTTTCATGGGCTCTCGGGCGGCAGAAGATCCAGCTGCGTGGCCTGCAATCTCTGCTGGGGAAATTAAATTTCGCCTGTCGGATTTTGCCCATGGGGCGCATCTTTAACAGGCGCTTGGCGGCGGCGACATCTGGGGTCGTTGCCCGCAGCACTTTATCCGGCTTACGCGGCCCTTGCGGGCTGACTTGGATGTCTGGGATTCCTTTTTGGCCTCATATAATGGGAGGTCGTACTGGCAGGCCCCGGAGGTTTCTAATGCGGACCTCCATCTGTTTACTGATGCGGCTGGCTCGGCCGGTTTTAGGGCCATTCTGGGCTCAAAATAGTGCGCTGACTCGTGGCCGGAGACCTGGCATACGGCAGGTCTCACTCGAAACTTGGTGTTTCTGGAGCTCTTCCCTATTCTGGTAGCATTGGAGGTATGTGGTTCCCTGCTGGTGGACAGACGGGTGGTTTTCCATTGTGATAACTTGAGGGTGGTGCAGGCTATTAACCAATTGTCTGCTTCTTCCCCCCCCTGTGGCTGGCTTGCTGCGGCGCCTAGTTCTGCGCTGTTTGGAGCTGAATGTGTATTGTAGGGCTGTACACATACCGGGTGTTCGTAATGTGTTGGCCGATGCTCTCTCTCGTTCACAGTGGCCCCGCAAGCCGAATTTGGAGGTCGTCTCGTGTCCGATAGAGATGTGGTCATTGGGTCTGACAGATTAATGGAATTGGTTCGTGGGTCAGTCGCTGCTGCCACATGGGACCGCTATAACAAGGTTTGGAGGGAATGGGACGGGTGGGAGAGGTCCAAAGGGGGCTTCCGGGACTCGGCCACTCGTCTGCAGGGTCTGGTTCTTCTCTTGGGGGAATGGGAGGCCGCTGGGTTGTCTCCCTCAGCCATTTCGCTGCGCTTGACAGGGCTCGGCTTCCTGTTTAAGTTGCAGGGTTGGGAAGACGCTACCAAGGCGTTTATTGTACGCCAGGCGCTGAAGGGTTTGAGGCGAGGTAGGGTGTCTGCATGAGATTTGAGGCGTCCTGTCTCGGGCACGCTCTTAACTTCTTTGTGTGAGGCGTTGCACGGGATTTGCCATTCGGATTTCTAGGTTCGGCTTTTTCGCCTGGCCTTTTCCCTGGCATTCTTTGGTGCCATGCGGATTGGGGAGCTGGTGTGCCCCAATCGGCAACAGGTCGGGGGGGTGCTATTTAGTGACGTTACGTGCACTGCGGATTGGATCTCGTTCAGGATCCGCCGCTCTAAGACGGATGTCTTGGGAAGGGGAAAGTGGGTCCGGTTGGGGGCCGTGCCTGGTTCTGGCATTTGTCCTGTGTGGTCCTTTGGGGAATATTGCGCCTTGCGGCCTTTTCCTGCACTGCCCCTGCTGGTGCATGGAGATGGTAGTTTCCTGTCACATTTTCAGTTTATTAGAGTGTTTCGTTTGGGGCTGGAAGCCACGGGATTGGATAGCAAGGAGTTTGGGGGCCATTCGTTACGTATTGGGGCGGCTACTGAGGCCTCTAGGCTGGGCATGCCTGTGCAGGTGGTTCAGAGGATTGGTAGGTGGGAATCAAGACGTTATGTTTCCTATGTTCGTCCGGATGGTTTACTGTTGTAATTTCTTTCCGCAGTTTCGGTTCCCCCCCAGGATTTGGATCATCGGGCTCTCTTATGTTTACTGGGCTGGGCAGTGTGTAGCGGTTCGGCCTGGAGGCGAGCGGTTGGGTTTCACGCCTTCCGTAGCAGCGGTTCGATGGCTCGGTGTGAGGGGTATGAGGTGGGTTCGACTCCTCCCTGAGTTGGTGCAGCTTTCCCATCTACTGGGGGTGCTGAGTGTCCTGGTGATCCACCTAGAGGGGAATGATTTGAGTTCAGTGCCCATTTGGGATTTGATTTCGGCGGTGAAGCGGGACTTAGCCCACATTTTGGTTTTATTCCCCAACGTGCGCTTGGTCTGGTCAGAAGTCATTGCCCGTAACTATTGGCGTGGCGCTAGGAGCCAGAGTGCCATGGAGCGTTGCAGACGCAAGTTAAATAGGTGGGTTTCCCAGTTTGTTTTGGAGGTTCGGGGGATCCCGGTCCGCCATAGGGTTTTTGAGTGGAAGGCGGACAATTTTTTTTGAAAGGGATGGTGTACACCTAACGGAGGTTGGACTCAACCTTTTTAATCTCGCCCTCCAGAAGGCGGTGGGTGGTGTTGGTGGGGTTCCCCGCTGACTTAGGGGTAAATCAGCGGGTCTGGTGGCGGGGGTATGTCCTTGCCAATTAAGTTTGATGGGTTATGTTTAAGGATGGAGTAAGTTCATTATGTTTGCAGGTCTCAACCTCCCATGCTTCAAAGGGTTAACATTAGGTTGCCTGAGGTGTCGTGCCCATTGAGCGTGGATAAGGTTGGCTGATGGTGGGCATTGGAAAGATATGATTTATGACGAGGGGGGAGGTGAGAGAAAGTAGTGATTAGGAACCACTGTATGTTTATTGGCAAGGACGGTTGGGTCACTGTGTAACACTATGTGTTGAGTTATATATGTTTATATGTTAATTTGTGATTATTTCTAACAATTTGGTTACAGATAGAAGAGATTTAATAAATAAAGTTATGGATGTGTTATGCAGTAATTTATTTGTTAGAATAAATGCTGTGGCCTGTTCATCCATACTAAGTTGTCTGTCGTTATTGGGGGGTTGAATGGGGATAGTTATGTTTTATGCTGCATCGTAATTCCCCACTACGCACATACATGTGCAGCAGGGTGCTGGCTCCTCTCCTGTGCGTGCCCTTGGTGGTTGTCCCAAAATGTCACTGCTGCACCAAATCCCAATATTTTAGGACTCAGCGTCTCTGTTGCTCAGCGCATGAAAAGTGCTGCCCTGGATTGTCACAAGTCCAGGGCAGTCTTTCTCATGAGCTGAGTGGCAGACATGCTTTGCTTTCCCATGTTTTTTGAATACAACTGTCTATTAAAGGACCACTATAGTGCCAGGAAAACATACTCGTTTTCCTGGCACTATAGTGCCCTGAGGGTGCCCCCACCCTCAGGGACCCCCTCCCGCCCGGCTCTGGAAGGGGGAAAGGGTTAAAACTTACCTTTTCCAGCGCTGGGGGAGCTCTCCTCCTCCGCTCTCCTGGGCTGAATGCGCATCAGCGGCAAGGCTGCGCGCAAGATTCAGCTCGTCACTATAGGAAAGCATTTACAATGCCCCTGGACGCTGCGTGCTCTCACTGTGAAAATCACAGTGAGAAAGCGAAGCGCCCTAGTGGCTGTCAATGAGCAGCGCTAAACTTTGGGAAGGCTTAACCCATTCATAAACATAGCAGTTTCTCTGAAACTGCTATGTTTATAAAAAAAATGGGTTAACCCTAGAAGGACCTGGCACCCAGACCACTTCATTAAGCTGAAGTGGTCTGGGTGCCTAGAGTGGTCCTTTAAAGCAAAGGGACCCTGTAGGCACCCAGACCACTTCAGCTAATTGAAGTAGTCTGTGTGCTGTGTCCATATTGCTATTATTGCTGCAATGTAAAACATTGCAGTTACAGAGAACATTGCAGTACTAAGTCGGCCATCACTGTGGGAGCTTCATGAATACAAACTGACTTTTGTCCCATTATCTCACCCTGGACGTCCTCATGGACCTTCATGATCAGATTTTCTCAATAGTAAAGCAGTGAATAATGCTTTAGTATGGTGATGTCTAATGTGTGTGCATCCACTGACACGCATGCGCATTAGGTCTCCCCTGCTGGCTGAATTAGGCGGAGGAGGAGCGTGGGCGGAGGTAAGTGAAGAGCTTTTAACCCCTTGAACAGAGCGAGATGGAAGACGCAAGGGAGGGGAACTATTAAATCTATACTGACATGAAAATTACTTTGAATAACTGTCAATGTAGGATTCCTTTAACTATTTTTTTGCAAGAAGGTATTTATTTATTCTAAACATATATTTTACATTTTTTTGTTACAGGGTATCTTCTTTCTGACTTCGCCACAATAGCAGGTACAAGCCAATGAAATAAAGGACCACTTTAGTGCCAGGAAAACATACTCGTTTTCCTGGCACTATAGTGCCCTGAGGGTGCCCCCACCCTCAGGGTCCCACACCCGCCAGGCTGAATGAAGAGGAAGGGGTTAAACACTTACCTTTCTCCAGCGCCAGGCTCCCTCGGTGCTGGAGACTCTCCTCCTCCTTTCCCCGTCATCAGCTGAATGCGCATGCGCGGCAAGAGCCGCGCGCACATTCAGCCAGTCTCATAGGAAAGCATTCTCAATGCTTTCCTATGGATGCTGGCGTCTTCTCACTGTGAAAATCAGTGAGAAGCGCGGAAGCGCCTCTAGCGGCTGTCAATGAGACAGCCACTAGAGGCTGGATTAACCCTATTATAAACAAACTGCTATGTTTACAGCAGAAAGGGTTAATCCTAGGTGGATCTGGCACCCAGACCAATTCATTGAGCTCAATACATATTTTACAGTACCATGGCATCATTAACAGCACTTTTTTTTTTTTTCTTTAAATGTGAAAAAACATGGTTACACGGAAAGTCTACATATCTCAGCGTTTAGTAGGCTAGTAACTGGTTAATCCTGTAACCTGTGGAGTTAACATGCCAGGTGAACGTATCTAGCTCTTGCTTATAGTGTAAAGTATCATCGCTGTACTATATAGACATAGGAATGATTATGCTGTGTAAAGATTGAACAAGATATTAGGCCACTGGGAACAAGCTTTACCAAAAATAACATTAATAACTGGTATGTGGCAATGACGCAGAATCAGCGTGGGCTATATACTAGTTATCGGTATCTGAGCATTTAGCTATTATGATGGCTAGGGGTGTTCCAGGCTAAATAAAGAGAAAAAGAAAACATTAACGCCTTCGAGTATTTACTAAAATGGCATTACTGTAAACTGGTCTTATAGAGCATCACCAGAAATCGTGTTCACGCGGTTTAAAGTTAGGCATGACCGTTGTGAGACAGAATGGTGGGTGCTTCAGCCTATGTCCAGTGTAGGCAAGTCCCGATTTCTGTCGCTGTAGGTCCCTCCAATGGAGCCCCTGGGCATGGTGTCTCTGCGTCGGGAGTCAGCTCCAGCAGTAATCTGTGAGGTGTGCAGCCGCACAGCCACTTGGTTTGCAGCGTTGGCTGTAAAGAGTAGAGTCATGCTGCGCTGGATGCAGAGTTTCAGAACAAGTGAAGTACTTTGGTGTCTTGCTGTGTAGTAGTCCCGTTTTTGTGTGTTTGCGAGTGGGAGCGTGCGTCCGAGTAACATGGCGCCCTTTCCCGCCTTGGGGATCGTTGGTATCTGCGTTGCCGGGTGGCCGCTTTGGAGACCTGAGGTAAGTGCCTGTAGTGGCGGCGGCGTGCTGCAGGTCGGATCCACGAGGCCACCGTCTTTATCGCTTGGTGGTAGGTTACTCCTGGACTGTGCAACCTATCCCAGAAGCTTGTGCGGAGCAGGTCGAAGGTCCCCAAAGGGGATGTAGGTGGCTGGGTGCTGGTGCTCCACTTGTTAGGTCTGCTCTGGGTGGCCATTTTGGCTGTGCCTTTGTGGCTTGGTGCCCCTGTGTGCCATGTAGGTGGTATGTCTGCCGACTGTTCTGGCCAAGTTGTCCAGTGGGGACTGGGATATCCCCCACTGGTCCAGAGAGGGGGGGTAGGATGTAGTGAGGTCGCTTGAGGGCTCGTCGCTTCCCCCCTGGCTCCAACCCCAGTAGGCTGCACTTGGGTTCCTGCTCTCCTAGCCCCGACGGGCCTCGGGTGGTATCATTCGGTTCAGTGGGGCACCCCCAAGTTGGATGGTGCACCCTTGGAGATCTTTGGGCTGTGTAGCCGCCGCTTTTGCCCCGGTTTCTGCCCGCCTGGCAGGAGCTCGTGCCATACACGTCTGTACGGCTCGATGGTCAGGCTCCGCCCCTTCTTTCTGACTTTTTATATTTGACACGTGTGCTTTGAATCACGGTAGGCAAACTTAAAAAAAAAAAAAAAAAAGTTTTATGTAATTAAAATAGATCTTATTTTAAATGCTTCTATAGTGTTTGCAAAACAAGATCGTATTCCTAACACTATAGTGCACTCTGATACCATACCCTGTGGTGTATTCTGATTTTTTTTGCTGCCCTAAGCATGACAAAACTCTCCACTCCCCCCCCCCAAACACCATTCCAATTCTTGCTTCCTGAAAGATCCACGCCCTCAGTGATGCTTGCACTGACATTCACTCACTTACAGATACCCCGTCATTGTCACGTAAACTTTTTAATCAACACACTTACACTAAAACACATTTACCTGCATACACACTAACTCACTCACATTTACCCATACACTCACATTCACTGACAGATACACATATACACTCACTGACAAGACACACATGCATATTCACTGACCTGCATATATACACTCAGTGTCAGACACACACATTCACTTACAGACTTACACATTCACTGACTGACACGGATACACACACTGACACGCATACATACACCCTCACTGACAAACATATATACACTCAATTGCAAACAAAATTATTTGGACTTAATACCATAAGCTTTTTTAATCAATGGATCATTTTATTTTTTATTTTCAATAAATGTTTGTCGTTTTATCACT